GAATTTAGAAGAGCCACTGAGCAGCTGACCAGCTTGTACACAACTTTGCATCTCATTGCATGCGTGTGCCCTGCCCTCTGTGCACGCCCTCTCTAAAGGCAGCAGCGATCTGTGTTGTAATGAGCAAAGGCTGACTCGGTATCATGCATTGCCTCGGTTCTATACTCCATGAATAAAAGACAGGGTGTGAGATTGATTTCCTCAGATAGGAAAAATTAGTGCCCCAGAGAATTAGCAAAACTTCAGAGACTGCTCAGAGCTGTGGGAGAGTTAAGGATGAGGAAGAGTAGTGGGCCGGGGCTAGCTCAGTGCCTAAAGTGTGTAAGGTCCTGGGTTTGATCCTTAGCATTGGGGGAAAAAAAGAGAGAAGAACAAAAACCTCAGTTTTGCTAAGTGAAGCTTATTTTGTCTGAGCCCGGCAGAGTTTTCAGTCTCCTGTAGACTTTTAGTTTCAGTTCGCCCAACTAGTTAGAACTACATTTGCTTGAGCTAAGCTCAGTGAAATGAAAAAATGCTTGAAATCAGATGTCAGAAATGCTCTGTAAATCCTCATCTCAAGAATTTTAATTGTATTTCGAGACATCTGGGTTGTTCTGGAACATCTGGCAGAGTCTTTTAATTGAAGTGCACAGCTTTGGTAAGAACCAGATTCCAAAGTGCATGTCTGTTAATTAAAAAGAAAACATAGCCAGTGAAGGCAGACATCAGTAGTTAAGCAGAACATAAAGCAAGGAGGAATAATCAAAGGCCTCGGAATGTGGGGATGGGAGGACGTGGAGTCTCCCTCCTGCTCCTTGCTGGGCTTCACTGTGGCATGGAGATTTACGGAAAATATTAAGTAGAATAATAAAAAATGACATATAAACCATGGATTTCACAGTTGTTACTATAACAGTGGTGTAATGATAAGGTGAGGAAGAACATGAATCTCCGTCCTTAAGACACCCAGAAACATATTTGCATGTTGTAGATTCTTTCTGGTTCCTTTCTGGTTGCACTTAACAATGTCGAGACAAGCAGCACTTCCTTCTTTGAGTGAGTGGAGTCGTGTTTACCGTTTCAACAATTTTAAATGTAGCTCATGGCAGTCAAACTCCAAACTAATCATAATGTTTTGTGATGCCTTAGAGTTTATGGAACACTCTCCTGTCCCAATAAGGTCACACAGGAGAAAACTGAAGCTCAGAGAGGACCACTTGCCTCTGACTTTAGTTCTCTGACTAGTATCGCCCCTTTCCACAGGTGCATTCAGTGTATCCTCCCCAGCATGCCAGAGCTAAGCAGTTTGAGACATGCTGCTCTATGAGCCTGAGTCCTGGGAACACCAGACTGTTCTTGCCTTTGCTTATTCAGCCCTGCTGTTACAGTTCTTTGTCTAGCTACTTGATCTTTTAAGTTCTGTGGGGGTTTTAGTTTCTAAAATTTACTAAAATAAAACACAAGCTTTGATTAATCTACTACTTCCTTTCCTATTCACTCTGCTGAATGGCAAGAAACCATGGACTTTGCCATCATTGCTTTTTATTGTGCACTAATTACATAAAACCTTGCCTTCTTTCTTCAGAGATGCCCCTTTAAAGCCATAAATTAATCTTTGACCAAGTTTCCGGCTTGCAGGCTCTCAGGGGAAAGGAGTCTTATCTCTATGAGGTCACCTTGTCTTTCCATCCCTTGCCTTCCGTGGGGATCTGTTTACCGATGGGCTAGATTTCCATGTGGGTCTGACAGAGTGTCAGGATGAGTAAAAGAACCCTATATTCTATATCACAATTCTATATCATACTTGCCCAACCTTTCCTTCTTTCTTCTGATGCTAGTGTCAGAGACCTTTGGCCCACCTCAGCTCTGTGTTTTCTAATACTATAGAGAACGACAGTTTGGCTTGAGTATAAGAACAGTCTAGAAGGGTTAAGGAGCTAATGTCTCAGGATCTTCAGCTAATGGAACATCTATTAAATGTCCGATTTTTGTTTGTTTGCTTTTGTTTTGTTTTTGTTTTTATTCCAATGCCCAGAGCATCATCAGTGCTCAACATTTAAAAGAATGATAGCTGTCCCATCTGTTTGTCATAAATTTTACCTGCACTTATAACAATACAGGCTGCTGGGTTTCTAATACACAAAGCACTGAAAAGAGTTTACCTCCATGGTCAGTTGAATCCATAGGGCTCTAGGTCTTTGTCATAACTTAAGATGCAAGAGTGAGGAGTTAGGGTCTGTGGACTACTCCTCCGTGGCTAACAGTCTTTGCAATATTGTGCCGCAGCCTAAACCTGCTGGGGAGGGAGCCATAGGATCTGTCAGTGTCTAAACC